TTAGGCACTTCCACAAAGCTAGCAGGACTGAAGCTGTCAGATGTGAAATGTTCCTTTAATTTTGTAATATGCACCATTGAAAGCACTGCTATTCTGAGGCGCTGAGCCGAGGCTCTCAGCGTGGCTCCAGCCACTGAGAAGCAGGGTTATTTAATTTATGTACATTTTGTATATTGCAGATGAAATTTGCACTAGATTTATAACAGTTTTAACAAAAATGTTGCATACTGCAGTGCTTGGGAACAATAAAATGTGCTATAAAACACTTGTAACTCATATCATTCTGGCAATTCTGGTGCATTTATGATTCAGAGCCATGGAGCGGATCCACTCACATCTTGTGTCAGATGGAGAACAAGGGCTGGCTGGATTTGGCAAACTTTGCAAAGTTCATGGCAGGGAATCTTTGGAGGATTTTCAGGAGATTTGTTTGAGGCTGTTTGAATCAACAAAATAAAACTCTAATTTCATTTGTGTCATCTACACAATGTTTCACATTATTTTCGTAAGCAGTTGAATGCTGGTAGAAGTAGCTTTAAAGACAAAATGATTGGCCCTTCTGTGAAATCTTTTTCAAAGTTCCCCAAGTAATGTTTAATAGAGCAAATGTTTTACACTTACATTAGTTCTTATTACATATTTACAGTTAGGTCCATAAATATTTGGACCTATTTGACACATAACACACCAACACAATCTATTTGGAATGAGACAAACAAGATGTGCTTTAACTTCAGATTCTCAACTTTAATTGGAGGGTATTTACATCCAAATCAGGTGAACGGTGTAGTAATTACAAAAGTTTGCAAATGTGCCTCTCACTTGTTAAGGTTCCAAAGGTAATTGGAATATTGGGTTCTAAGCTGTTCCATGGCCAGGTGTGTGTTATTCACTCATTATTCCAAGTACAATGAGCAGATAAAAGGTCCAGAGTTCATTTCAAGTGTGCTATTTGGAATCTGTTGTCAACTCTCAAGATGAGATCCAAAGAACTGTCACTATCAGTCAAGCAAGCCATCATTAGGCTAAAAAAACCCAAAACAAACCCATCAGAAAGATAGCAAAAACATTAGGCGTGGCCAAAACAACTGTTTGGACCATTTTTAAAAGAAAGAATGCCCCAGTGAGCTTAAAAACACCAAAAGACCTGGAGGACCACGAAGACAACTTTGGTGGACGACCAAAGATTTCTTTCTCTGATAAAGAAAACACCCTTCATAACAGTGGGCCAGATCAAGAACACTAGGTGTATGTGTGTGAAAGTCAACGATGAAGAGAAGACTTTGAAGGGAAAGAAGTGGAATGTTATGCAATGGCCAAATCAGTCACCTGACCTGAATCTGATTGAGCTTGCATTTCACTTACTGAAGACATAACTAAAAGGGAAAATGCCCCCAAAACAAGCTGGAACTGAAGACAGTTGCTGTAAGCCTGGCAGAGCATCACCAATAATAAAACCCAGTGTCTGCTGATGTCCATGCGTTCCAGACTTCAGGCTGTAATTGACTGCAAAGGATTTGCAACCAAGTATTAAACAGTGAAAGTTTGATTTATGATTATTATTCTGTCCAAATACTTTTGGACCCTTAACAAGTAGGAGGCACATATGCAAACTGTTGTAATTCTTACACTGTTCACCTGATTTGGATGTAAATATCTTCAAATTAAAGCTGACAGTCTATAGTTAAAGCACATCTTGTTCGTTTAATTTCAAATCATCGATTGTGTTGGTGTATAGAGCCAAAAATGTTAAATTGTGTTGATGTCCAAATATTTATGGAGCTAACTTTATAAATACTGGAGAAAGTCTTAGTTATTTTATGTTGTCTGGAATATATATATATATATATATATATATATATATATTCCAGACAACCTAAAATAACTAAGACTGCTAAGGTCAGAACAAACCATGTTATTTAACTTATTTAGTAACATAATTAACCTAGTTAGGCATTTAAATATTACCTAAAGCCAAATACTCTTATCTTGAAAAATAAATATTTAATATAAATAAGTTTAATTAATATGTGTAAAATATTTAATACATATAATGTACTGTCATCATGGTAAAAACAAAGAAACTAGTTTTTAACACAAAAAGCCTTTATTAAACAGCAATTAAACATCACTATTTAAAAAATAATTAATTATTTTTAAAATGCTAAAAATGTTGTCGTCAACAGTGTATGGAATGTTTAAGAAAGATTTATATAGGACAATTGGGTTAAGTAAAATGTTAAAAGTTGTTTTATTCTATAAAGGTATGATGACATTTCATTCAAATTAAACAAATATTAAATTAAAATATTTTTATTCTGACAACATTTTTCCAGAAACTGACAATTGGTAAAAAAAGGTGCTTTAATTTGATATGATTGAAAATCAGAATAGAATTATTCCACCAAATACTGGTTTCTTTTAAAGTTAAAATAATAATATTAACATATATGAAAACATTGTACCTTTTTGTTATTTAATGCAAAAAAATGTACCCTTTTAGAATTTGGTTTTATTTTCTGTTTAATCTTCTATTTTAATATATTTAAAAAGAATGTGAAATAATGGCTGGCTGATTTTAAATTATGGCTGTCTGCTGTGTGGCTTTAATAAAAATATATTATTCATGGCTGTTTTTTTTCCTTTAGTTCTGCTCTAAACAATAACCCTGTCTAGATCAGTACATCAACTGGCCATTTTGAAGTTGGTCGTTTCACCCACGGGGCCACAAATGACACCGCACCTCGTCTGCCGTGTTAATGTAATTACAATGATCATGCATTAGGCTTCTCTAAGATGCTTGCTTTTCAATAGCACATTAAGGCTGCTAATTTATTTCTCACTGTCCTTTTCAGCTTTGAAAGCCATCATTTAAAATCATCAGCTTGTGGAATTGTGCCATTTGCCACTGCCGATCGTCTCGACACTCTGCCGGCGATAATGGAGGAATCAATTAGCTTGCTGCGACAAAAACAAAACTGATTTTACACATTTATAAAACTGGTGCACCTTTGAAGCGCCACCACTGAACTGGATTTCACAGAGGTGCAAATAACTTGCAGTAAAACAAGCCATTTGAATACCAAATGGAATACAGGGAAATTCTGATATTTTATCAAGAAGTGAGAAGATATATATATATATATATAGGGATTGTAAAATGAAGAAATATATATGAAAAATCTTGTGGTAAAATCTGTAGTAAACATACTAGTTCTAAATTATTTCTAATAACTAATTTAATTTGTCTTTGCCAAGATGACAGTACATAATAATTTACTTGTTATTTTGCAAGAAGCTAGTTTTTAGATTAAAGAGCAATTTAAAGGCTTAATTAGGTTAACTAGGCAAATTAGGTTAATTATTGCACAAACGTGGTTTCTTCTGTAGCCAATCAAAAAACAAACAACAGCCTTAAAAGGTCCTTTTTTTTCAAATTAATTATTTAATTCATTCATTCGTTTATTTTCCTTCGGCTTAGTCTCTGATTTATCAGGGGTCGCCACATTGAAATGAACCACCAATTATTCTGGCATATGTTTTACACAGCGTATGCCCTTCAAGCCGCAATCCAGTACTGGGAAACACTCATTCACCACGGCCAAATTAGTTAATCCTATTCACCTTTAGTGCATGTCTCTGGACTTGTGGGGGGAACGGGAGCACCTGGAGGAAACCCATGCCAACAAAGGGAAAACATGCAAACTCCACACAAAAATGCTAACTGGTCCAACCAGGACTTGAACCAGCACCATTCTTGCTGTGAGTGCTAACCACTGTGCCACCATGCCGCCCTGTTTTTTAAATTTATATATATTATTCCAGCTAAACTAAAGAAACGTCCTTCTCCAAATAAAGGACATACAAATATAAGCATTCTTGCTCTGTTAAACATTACTTTGGAAATATTAAAAAAATTAATCACAATTTCACAAAAGGGCTAGTAATTTGTGTTCAACTATGACTGCGTATCTATATTTTCTGCTCAAACAGCTAGCAGGAATATTTTAAGGCAGTGGAAGCATAAAAGAGGAACATATACTTCTATTGTCCAATTTTGAGAAGCCTGTGTGAATTGTAGCCTCAGTTTCTTGTTCTTAGCTGACAAGAGTGACATCTAGTGTGGTCTTCTGCTGCTGTAGCCCATCTGCCTCAAGGTTTGACGTGTTTTGCATTCAGAGATGCTGTTCTGCATACCTTGGTTGTAACGAGTGCTTATTTGAGTTACTATTGCCTTTCTATAATCTTGAACCAGCCTGGCCATTCTCCTCTGACCTCTGGCATCAACAAGGCATTTGATCCCAGAGAACTGCCGCTCACTGGATATTTTGTCTTATTGGACGAATCTCTATAAACCCTAGTGATGGCTGTGCATAAAAATCAAAGTTTCAAATTATGATCAAAGATCAGCAGTTTCTTAAATACTCAGACAGCTCGTCTGCCAACAACAATCATGCCACATTCAAAGTCACTTAAATCACCTTTCTTCCCCATTCTAATGCTCGGTTTGACCTGCAGCAGATCGTCTTGATCGTGTCTATATGCCTAAATGAGTCGAGTTGCTGCCATGTGATTGGCTGATTAGACATTTGCGTTAACATGCAGTTGGAGAGGTATACCTAATAAAGTGGCCGGTGAAGGTATATATATATATATATATATATATATATATTATTGTATTACTGTTACTATTACTATATTTTTTTGAGTTTTACTACTACTATGTTTTCTGCTATTAAAGAATGTCATACACGTTTTTGGAATCCCCAACCTTGGCTCTACAAGCACCAAACTCTAGCACTTGAGCTACAAGTAGTCTCTAAATTGTGCCTCCCTTAAAAACTTACTATATTCTATATGCCTGCTACCAACCTTCCAGAAAATCAATAAAAATAAGAAGAGAAGAAAGAGGGTGGTGAAGAAAACAGAAAACAGTGAGAGAGTGGGGATGGTTAAGGAGAGGGACACAAACACAACTAAACATCTAAAGGTGGCCATACTCGTCCTGGTTGGGTGCGGACGGTGCGCTGGAGGAGTCGCTGGAATTCTTGGCAGGGTCACTATCTGTGGTCTGGTGGGATCCTGCTTGTACCTGAGAGTCCTTACTTTGGGGGGCTTTGGCCGGCTCAGCCGGGCTCTGGCCATCGGCTCTGGCCACTTCTGCGGGGCTTGAATCATCTAAGGACTTTGAGGTCTGTTTGGAGGGTGTTTCACTCAGGTCCACCAGAGGGGCCACGGCTTGAGGAGGGGAGGTGGGAGAGGTGACGCTAGGTTTGGGGGTGCTGGATTGGGGAGTAGGTTTAGGGTCGGTGCTGGTGGTAAGGGTGGTGCTATCGCTAGCCGGACTTTCAGTGCCGGGGTCTGAGTTAGTGGTTACAGAGGGAAGCAAGTCCACTACTGTTGCTGTGGTGTCAGCAGCGTGCCTGTGAGGACAGCAGGAGCACAGAAAGAGGAGAAACAGGGAGAAAGAGCCACATAAAGAAGGAGAAAAGAAGGAGGGAAGGAAGGCCAAGGCAAAACACACATACATATGTAAGTCCAACATGCATTTCAAAATAAAACACAGCATGTTAGGTCAAAATCATACAAGTGTATGGTATCTGGACAGACTGTTAAGTAGGTGTTAATAATCTGAAGGGATGGCAAGAGTGTGGTTGTGGTGTGTGTGTTTATTGAGGACTCACTCGGGGTCGGTCAGAGGGGTGGTCTCGTTGGGTTCAGTTGGGCCTCCTCCCTCGTGGTTTGGTGTGCGCTCTTCTTCAGTTCTTACCTCCACAATAGGCTCCTTAGATTCATCCTTACTGAAAAAGATAATAGCAGAGTAAATTAAGTAAATGCGATGCGGTTGCATGGCTTGTAAACATGTAGCGAATATAGTAGCTAACATGCAGGAAGTAAAAATTAACAGCATCAGTTAAATGACTAAAGATAATTAATAAATCAGTATGTGCAACATGTGGCATTTTCTTGCAAAAGAGTGTTTATATTATTTTAAGCTGCTGTAGAGTTAAAGTGAGAAATGTAATGAAAAACGAACATTTCTTGAAAATTATTTGGTGCTAAAAAGTTATTTTTTTCTTTATTTGTTTGAAATGTATAATTTGTGTAAAAAAAGGCAGAGCAAGTAAAAAATAAAAATGTATAAAGTGGTCCCTTCGCTTTAAAGCAGTTCACCTTTCGCGGTCTCGCAGTTTCCCAGATTTTTTTTCTTGTGACCATCGTAAAAGGGGGTCGCACACCGTGTGCGCCTTGCCACGCTGTGACATGTAGATATAAGTTTCTATCGGCGCCGCAAGTCGGTGGCCCAGCTACGACTCAGCTACGACTCAGGACTTCATATTTCTGCCACACCACAGAGCTCCATCTGAATAATTTCATTTTAACTAAAATGTGAGTGTGGGCATCCGGTGTGTTTTACTTCCAACTGTCATGTGCACGGCGCATCCCCTTAAGCATGGAGTCACCTTTCGCTTTTTGGATCAGCGACTGCAGGAAAAAGAACCTTTTTCCTTTTCCCAACTTTATCCGCACAAAAGCAAAAAAGCTTTATGAACCTTTTGCTGACAATGATGAATGTTTGCTGCTGACAACAGGTTTTGATCTTTGATTTTTTTATTGTACCAGACTTATACGAAAATGACTTATAATAAAATGAAATAAAAAGCTTTTTAACTCAACATTTTTGACATATATCATTTGTGAAGGGGCTGGCATTACAAGTAAAGAAACATAATACACTTAAAGTACTTATTTAAAATGAGCTGAAACTACACAATTCTTGAGATTTGTATGGGACAACTTAATTGTTTTTTGTTCAATCCACTTTGATTTGTTATCTTAATCCATTTGTGTTGTATAAGTTACTATGACCGACATCCGCCACGCAATTTCAGTTTTCCCCAGAACATGACGTCACTAAGCGGTTATATCGAAAAAAGCATCAAATTTCTGAACGGTCTTTAATTATTTTGTGCAATATAACATTATGGATCAACCAAGGGTAAAAAAAAGTAGTTACAAACATAAATCATATAAAACATAACTATTCAGATTACTAACTCCGCTGACATTCAGTTTACTTCACTATTATGCGCCAAGCAAAAGCCACTCACCCTGTCTAATCTTAAAGAGCTTACAGTTACCTCTTCTGTCATGTTGTCTAGCTGACCTAAGATTGCTTAGCTTCTGTCTCCTGCTATCCTGATCCATGACTGCAGTTTCATCTTCTTAAAATCTCTTCTGATCAGGCTCATCATCACATTTACTCAAGGTTTAAAATAATAATATATGCTTGACTGCCTCTGGCCTTTTGAAAATACAAATAAAATTTATGTAGGCCACTATGTCATTATTTATTTTGGCTGCTCACTTTGTGCGAAACAATAATCAACAACTAATGAGAGTGATTATAAATGTAAGAAAGCTGATTGGTCGAAAGTGACTACCCTTATGTGAGCTTTGCTTGCTGTTTTTCACTCTGTCTCATTCACATTCTCTCTCTCTCTCTCTCTGTCTCGCTCTCTCTCTCTCTCTCTCTCTCTCTCTCTCACACACACACATAAAGGTATTCACCATGCAAAAGTTAATGCCTGATCAGTTCAAAATGTAAAACAGGAATATCTGACTTTTTCCGAAACAGGATCCGGCTTAAATTAAGCACTGACCCCAACCATGTTGTAAGTACATGTGATTAATTAATATTACTCAACAATTACACTGTAACTATGTCATCTTAAAATAAAGTGTAACCAAAAATCTAAAAAAAGAGAGTAAAAAGTAAGTAGAAATCAAAACTGCTACCCTGACCTTCAAAACCTATACCCTAGAGCCCTTCGGTTCTATTAAATGACATAAAAATGTAGATATGCCAGTTTCTATTGAAAAAAAAAGAGAAAAACCATGAGAGCTACTAAATCCAGAGGCACCTTCTTCTCATTCTTAACCATCATGCACCTCTCCTCTTATCTCAACACTGCTGCCATGAGCCAATATTCACATCATTCTCATTCATAGAGCTAGATATGTCACAATCATGCCTGCCTCAAGCCCTCCTGTAGAGCTGATGTGGCCGATAATGACGGCGGAGCGGTGATGGATGACGTTATCGGACAAGGGAAAACACACGCAGATGAGAGGGGAAGGAGAAGACAGACTTACGTGAAGGCAGCTTTTCCCTCCTCGATATCCTTGCTCTTGGCTGAAGGCCCAGACTTGCCGCAGAAATTGACAGCGATGCACATGAGAAGGCCACACTTGTTCAGGAAGTAGCAAGTGACGTCTACGCCGAAGAGGAGCAGGATGAAGACCACAATGAGGATGCCCACGATAGCGCCAGTGCCCAAACCTGAGCTTGTTTCTTTAGAATAGAGGAGGAGAAGGTTAAAACAGAATGATGCCACTGTTAATCAGAGTTAAAGGTTTTGTTTAAATTAAAATTCTGTCATTGTTTCATCACATTAGTGTTGTTCCAAATTTGTAATAAATTTGTTCATCTTTGAATGACGAATGAAAACATTTTTAATGAAATCTGAGAAATTTCACTCCGTCAAAGTCTATGAAAACTGAAAGATATGTCAACTATACTGCAAAAAAGTTTTTGCTTTAGTTTTTGTCTTGTTTTTAGTCCAAATATCTAAATTTTCTTAAATCAAGAAGCATTTTCTAGACAAGCAGAAAATATTGTCTTGTTAGAAGAAATAATATGTCAAAATTAAGTTGAGTTTTTTCCTTAAAACAACCAAAATAATCTGCCAATGGGGTAAGCAAAATAGTTTTGTTTTTCCTTTTGACATAATATTTATTTGCTTACTCCATTATTTTACTTGTTTTAAGTAAGTAAGTAAGTAAGTAAGTAAGTAAGTAAGTAAGTAAGTAAGTAAAGTTATTTGTATAGCGCATTTATCATGTATGGCCATCCAACCAAAGCACTTCACAATCATGAGGGGGTCTTTGCATACCACCAAAAGTGTGCAGCATCCACTTGAATAATGTGACAGCAGTCACAGGACAATGGTGCCAGTGCGCTCACCACAAACCAGCTATTGGTGGAGTAGAGAGACAGAGATATAGCCAATTCGGTAGATGGGGATGATTGGGAGGCCATTATTGGTAAGGGTCAATGGAGGGAATTTGGCCAGGACACCGGGGTTACACCCCTACTCTTTACGAGAAGTGTCATGGGATTTTTTATGACCACAGAGGACCACAGTCTGGACCTCGGTTGAACGTCTCATCCAAAAGACAGCACCCAATGAAAGTATAGTGTCCCCTTCGCTTTACTGGGGCATTAGGACCCATGCATTCCACAGGTTGAGCGCCCACTGCTGACCAGCAACCTAGTTTTCACTAGTTATTAAGAAAAAACTTCTTTTGTTACTGAGCTCAAAAAGGCAAAACATGTAATATGTTCATAATGCAAACCGATCATGTCTCTTCAAAATAATAAATGCTCAATTCAATTTTGTGGATTTATTTTTTTATATTATGAACAGATTATTTGATATTTAAAAATATCAGAGTTATTTTTTGGGTGAACAGACTCTTTAAATTGTCTTCATTTACTTCATTAGTTTACACGATTGAAATGACAAAGTGAGTAAATGACTACAGACATTTAACTTTTAGACAAATGAACAATTTTAAACATTAAACTTTTTTTACAGAGCCAAATGCAATTTTTACAGAGCCAATGGCTACAAATAGGCTGTATAGACACAGGCTATATTAACCCATAGAACCACAAAAGGGTGAATTCACAAAAAAATTGTAAAATTATCCTTCAAAATCAAATCACCTTAATCAAAAATTAAGGTGATCTCGTAGTGACATTTAGTTGAAATTCAACATTTAAAAGCTAATGTATGAAAACTCAGCTCACACAGAAAACACTTTCAAGCTCAATAGCTTTCATTGTGTCAACCTTCAAGGAGATCACCTTGAACTGTGAGAGATGTGTGCAAAAACTTGTGAATGTTTGAATTTCTAATGAAATTAAACAAATCTGTCAATGAGGTTGAACCTTAATTCAACATATTTGTAAAGTATCATTAAAATTATGAGTCCGCCAAAAACAATGTTCTGTCATCATTTCTTAACCTCCTTGTCTTTATAAACACGCACAATAGGTGACTGATTTTTTATTAGAATGTTTTGAATTTGTTCAACTGCTTTTTGCCAAACAGTCAATGAAGAGCAGTGAGGTCCAAACTAACCCTGGATTTCAGTAAAATTCATTACATGAACAAAAATTCACGTAAAGAAGGAAAGTAGAAAGTCAAACAGGTTTAAAATGACATAAGGGTTAATTGATAGAAGATTGTGTAATTTACATGTTAACTATTTATTTAAATCATGCATATTAGTGCAAACACACCCCTTTTAAATGTAAATTAGCATGTAGACCATTTTCAGGGATGTAAACAATATCAACTGTTCTAACATATTTCCTGTTTTACATTTTAAATTGTAATAGCTTCTGAGCTATAGAAAAAAAAATCCACATATTGATAAATAATGTTAGATAGAATGATAGCTGTTATAACATCAAGGTATTGAAGCGCCTTTTGTTACAGATATAAAATAGTTTGACAACAAGCAGGACATATTCATAGGCCAATGACATCGCCATATTGAAATGGTCTATATTTTTAGACTGTACCTCTGCCTGGAGTGGATGACAGAGTTTTATTTGTTTCTGTACATTTTATATCAATAAAGACATCGTTAATTCATCAAATGATTATCAAGCGATAGCGCAGAGCATTATACCGTATTTCCAAATGCGGAATGTAGACAAGTCCATTTTGCACATTTTAAAGAGGCGAGTGTTAAATCATTTTTTAGTGCCTGAAAAGTACGCCAGATTATGGTTATTTGATTTACATCCTAGCAGATTTTGAGGGCATGCTTGCGCCATTACCTGATTAGCATAAATCAGAATCTCTAAAGATGATAAATATGTGCAAATAAACAGCTGATTTCTTTAGTGAAATCCCCCTATAATGTGGAGGCTCTTCACATAGAATGTCAAACAGGCTTCATTCCATGTGTTACCCACACACATTATACATTACATACAGCGTCAATCTGAAGCGAGGCAATCATTACTCACATGGAAATGAACCCAGCATGCTTATTCAAAGACGTAATTAACTCTCTTTGTATGGAACTTCAGCAGTCTTGTTCAGAACGTTAACTACAAGGCTCGTTCTGTTTATATTCATGCACATATTTCAACAGAGAATTTGCACTTGGAACGGTTAAAATAATCTCAATATTCAGCTCATAGCACATTTATTTACAAGGTAACCACACACAAATGGAAGCCACGAGATGAAAACGAACGAGGATCAGACGTGAAGCACAAACACAAGCAGAGCTGTGTTTTCAGCACATGAAAACACAGACTACTTACCGGGAAAGACAAGCTACACTATGATAACGCTAAAAACTATAGGATTTACTGAGGCGGACGTGAATGTATTGAATCAGAAAACAAATTGCACAATGAAAACATGGTTATATTGATATTTATTCATATTTTATTAATATCTATGGATTGTCTTGGTGCGTCGGTAAACATGGCAGTTCATATTAAATCAGTTGATGCTCACATATTTTATTCATGGGAATGTTTAAGGGCTAAGGTCAAGATCTTTTGGAAAATGAAATGAGGTAAAAAAAAAAAACAAAATAAAATAAAATTAAACTAATTAAAATTAAATCACAGATGAATACCGACTTGCAAAAATGTGAGCTAACATGGTACATCAGTTAAAAAAATTATAGTTGAAACATCATTTGAGAAATAACAAACAACTAAATAAATTTAAATAAAATCACAGATGAATAAAAATGTGGTAAAATGTGAGCCAACATGCTACATTAGTTATTTGAGACACTATTTGTGAAAAAACAACAACTAAATAAATAAAATATAAAGTTAGTACTGGTTACAGCAATCGTTGAGCTATCGTAACAAGTTGCATCAGTTAACTTGACCATATCAAATGGTCTCAGGCTATACTGAAATATTGTACTCATTAGGATGTTAGAGGGGAGATGTCCATGATAATTTGTAACATAAAATAAAATAAAAATAAAATAAAAAAAATTTAAAGTTGAAATATCTCATTAATGGGTACATCTAAGGGCTAAATCTAATGTATTTTAGACAGCTAGTAATAATAATAATAACAAAATTACAAATAATTGAAAAGAAATATGACCCTTGATTAAATACTATTTGCAAAAAAGTGATGTAACATTAATCCTCCGTCAGTAAACTTGTGGCAATTCATATTAAATCAGTGCATGCTAAATTATTTAATTCCCAATGATTTCTAAATAAGTGAACTAACATAGCTTATTGTTAACCAAACACTCATCGTCATTTTATTCAAGTATTCTTTTGAGTAAACAGCCATGTATTACACTATGAATTAAGATGAACAGGCTGACTGCATTTGCAATTAGGCTTATATTGAATTCTAAGCAACTTCCTATAAAGTGTCTTTAATGAAACGCCCTTCTAAATCATTGATGGAGTCACATAAAGACCTAAAACACATCTACATGTATCAAGGAGTTCATGAATTATGGATGCACTCAACAGAGACCTGGAGGAAGAATGCATTAAACAAAACTCTTCAAGGGAAAAAAAACACCTAATCACAGCATGCAGTTCAACTTGAGATTCAGAAAAAATATATAATAATAATCATCATGACGTATTCAGTGTTCAGAGTGACTTTTCCTTGACTTTCACTGGATTAAAAGCTTAATTTCCAAGATGATATTGGTGTGCTAATATATTAATAAACTTATATCAAAATATATGATATTAAAATAAAAGGCAACACTTTACTTCAAGAGGTTTATAAGACTGTCATGAAACCTTTATAAATATGACATGAGACATGTCATGATCGTGAAGGATATTTTATGCTAGCTTTTAACAACTGTCATTAGGTGTCATTGGCTCAGTTATGACATTTTAAATGCAAAGATGACATTGTTTGTTACTACAACTTGACAATAACAAATACATCACAACCTATTTTTGTCTTTGTCATGACAAATTGACATTACCAAGAGAGCAAAACTTCTGTCACAAACGTGACTGTCATGAAGCCATTATAAATCAATCTGGGGTTGCCACAGCAGAATGAACCGCCAACTTATCCAGCATATGTTTTACGCAGTGGACGCTCTTCCATCTGCAACCATCACTGGGAATGAATGATTGAATATATATATATATATACAAGCTCAATTTATCATTGGAATATTAAATAATAATGATGAAGTTAAACATATTTGATCGAGTGATGACACTTTAACAGTTTGTTCCACTGG